CAAAGTAAAGCCAAGCCAAGCCATTCCAAATGAAACCAATTCCAACTTCTGAGTAAACCGATCAGAGAGCACTAATTGATGTGTTGGTTTTCGATTGGTAATTTTAATTACGTATGCAGCAAACAAACACGAAAACTTCAGTCACATGTGACTGAGCGAAGAGCATGCATCGTTCGTCGATATATGTAAATAAAATAGCAAATCGAAATGTGATATGAGCAGGGCAAATCAAAGCGATCACATTTCGATTAAAACAGCCGATGGGTATTGGCATGGAAATGTGCAATTCTCTACAAAGAAGAAGAAGAAGAAGAAGAAAAGAACGACGACGACAAACAATGTGATTGTGTCAATTTTGCTTTGGCTTCATATCAATGCATACATTTTTAATCGAATAACTGATGTCGATGAGAATGTGTTGTCACAAATTGAGAATTGTGGTAACTGATGAAAACGATGCGATACGAAACAAAAAACCGATTCAAGTTTGTCAGTCAGACGTTCAACGCCTAGAGCAATAGCATGAAATAATAAACGTTGAGCTTGGCGTGTGATGCAAATGAATAATTCGGCATTGCGGAACGGAACATTGTCAACCCTTCAAAATGCTTAGAAACTCATTTGCATATGTATACAACTTAATCTGTGTGTGCTCTGCTCATTTATCCATCGTCGCACACCCAGATCAAGTTTGTTCATGGCTTTTGATTTTGGCGTCGGCATCAATTGATGGCAACTCTCGTACTTGCACACACCTAACTTCGGTCGGTTGCCATTGTGATCCAAAATTGATTCTCGCAAAATTCAATGAAACATGTTGCAAACGCATTCGGTTGCAGTCAGACAACTGCAAGGTAAGACAATTCAATTCAAGAAGTTGCATGCATTTATTCGAAATCTCCGAGTAATTTGCAATGTTTACTTTATGCAAATACACGCATAGACGAACAAGAATCTGACTGAGCAACGTTCACATTCATATGGATAAAAGCACAAAATACTTTTGTCAATAGAATTTCATGTTGGTGTGGTTCGAAATGGGCTATGATATACTGAAATGGTTCCGTGTACATGCTGGCTGGATGTTGGAATTTTAGATTTACAGCTGTCACACCTACGTATTCATTCAGAAGCAATTTTCCAACATAAATAATTGCATCTATCCCTACCTCTCGCTCTCTCTCTCTCTCTCCCTATCACATCTGCATACGAAATCAGAATATAAAATATTTCATACCGTGCTAAAAATGTTGTGCTCAAAACTTTGAAAATCGAGTCTCGAATGAGCATAACAAATGGGCCTACCAACGTCACATTGCCCATTTCCACCACCGTTCGTAGTTCTTTTTCCATTGCGATTTCATCGCAAAACATCTGCATTTGATGTGAATGTAATGAGTTTTTCCCGAAAAGGCGTTGGCGTTGCTGCAAACGCCATTTGTCACACCAATTAACGCAAATGAATGAGTTGTCCGTTCTACAGGTGAACGACGACGCTGACGTTTCTCGCATTTAATCCGTGCAATCTTCTTTAAACCAAAATCAAGGGCTTTGTCTAAGGGACACTTAATGACACGTCATGCTCTATAATATTCCCACTAGTACACTCTATTATAAAGCTGTGCCACGATCCAGATATTATTCGGATATACCAACGGTTTCACGGAAACGACGTTAAATCTCCGGCCCAATATTCTCGGCCCTTATACCGAAATGACGAACTTTATCTCGACCGAAAACCATACACATTTGCATATATTTGTCAGTGAACTTCCGAATAAATTCGATTTGTCAACGTAACCCATTTGGTTTAAGTAATAAGTAAACGTACACACATTGTTTGTATGTGCCAACTTTACATCTCAAGCTCAGATTTTCAGTCTTTTCGGATTATAGGCAACATAAAACGCAATATAAAGGATCTGCGTCAACATTTGCATACGTCGTTATATCATCGTTTATGATCACGGTCACCAACTTTATTTTTCAAATGCTCCACTAATTCTGGTTGAGCTTGTGCAGGCCGAAACACCATTTCGACTGTTCGGCATGGCTACGGCCATTTTCAAAAAACTCATATTCGTTGATAACGGGGCCCATTTAATCCTTCGACCTTCAGTTAAATATAATGAGCGAATATCACCTCTGCATTGTTATATTTCGCCGAAAATGCGAATTCTTCATGAATTGAAACAAAACACACCCTGAAAAAAGAGCACATCTTCTGCTGCGTGTCGTCTCTCACTTTCGTATCTCTCGAGACGGAAATGGGCGAGAAGGCGAAGAGCAGTACGGACAGAAAAAGTGTGTGTATATATAAATGTCATTTACGTGACCCTTTTGCGCTTCACCGACGACTTTTATTGAAACGTGCACACGGAACACGGTTTTTGTTTTGGCACAAACGTGATAGCGACTACATTCGGAAATGACAAGAAGCTAACCCGTTGGCGGAAGAAATTCGATAAATATCGATTTTTCACTCGCTTTTTGTTCCTTTCACTTTCATCTGGTACAACGGGGTTGGTCCTGCTGCTGGCGGTTTGAGCGCGTTTTTCAGCACATTCAACAAATCATTTTCAATGTGACCAATTGATTGAGTCGCTCATCGGTTTTGGGCCATTCGAAATTGACTTGTTCATCGAAATGGCAAAGGAATTTCAATGACTTTTCCATCACATGAGCCACTTTTTATTCGATTGATGATTTCCAAATTATTATTACATAATTTATGAGGAAAATCACTAAGTGAAACTGGCACTGGAAAACGAAAATTCCGCCCAATTAAGAGGGATAATAAGTTTGTAATGATTCACATTTGTTCGGCAAACCAATCATCGCATAATTCAACTCAGCCGATACCAATACAAAACTTCCCACGCAAAACGAAACTTAATTTTCATTCCATGAGAACTTTTCGAATGGGCAAAAAAAGCAAAGGAAATTTTTGATTAAAGAAAACTCATAAATAGTATTTGCTTCTTCTTCGTTCTTCTTCTGCTTGTCATTCTTTCTTTGTAGAACACACAAACGAAAGCTACAGAACGAGATTTGTCTTTGAAATTGTTCGAAACCGTATGCATCGCAATCTAGTGCTTCAATCAACTTTCTAATTCAATCATTTCAAAATAGTGTTCCAAGAAGCGGCACGCAATGAATTCGACACAAAGCTTACATTATAAGACATGATTTATGAATTCAGATCGGTAATCACAGATAACATACAGAGAGAGGAGAGTACGGAGTGAGAAAAAAGCCACATGCTCTAATTTCTCTCCTATTTGATCTCCAGCTTGATGGTACCATTAACACAATTATTTTCGCTTTGTGAAATTGTTCGACTGCACATTGTTTCAATCCGGTTTTCGGAATATATATTGTTTGCAGCATTGAAATTTCATTAAAACTTACTTGCCGCCGTCGCTACTGCTGTTGCTGCCATTTTGACAAAAACTTGGACACTTGCTAATGAAATCAGATTTTGTTGAATGTCGCTTGTGAAATTCATACGGCTGCTGTTCGGTCGTTCTATCAAATACGTTTTCTTTGAGGCAATGAGAATTACCAAACTTAAGCTCGGTTTGTCGAGAAGTTTCGAAAAGTGAAAATACGATGGGATTCACTTTTAAAGAATTTATGTACGCTTCATTTAAACGCTCAGCTTCAATCGTCTATACATTTCTATAGATATCATAGTCTCCTTGTGCATTTGCATCAGTGTTTCGGTGAGCTGGAGTCAGTGATTCATTCCAATCGATTTCAAAAGAAGAAGAAAAGACAAAGCCGAATATTCAAAAAAAAAAAAACAAATCTGGAAATAATGTGATTCTGGGATCATTGCATTCAATTGAAAAGTTCATTGTAACGATTTTTGGGTAAAGCGAGTGAGTAAGTGATTCAACCCAATTAAGGCACACAAAAGCCAATTGTCTTCAATTGAATTTAATATGTGCGTGTGTATGTGTGTGGTGCACATGATTTTCGATTAAAATGCAAATTCCACATTCTTGGCGGCGCTTTTACCATTTACATCGAAAACAACAACGAATGGCAATCAAAACAGAGAAGAAAAGCCGTCACTCCGTGTTTCTATCACTTTCCAGCCGATAAATATTGACTGTCAATATTGTTGTTGTTCATGATATACTCTTCGTGCACTGAATATAAACGAATGTTTATGCAAATTTTTCGTAGCTTGCATTTTTCACCAGGATTTTCTACATTGTTTTGTATGCATAAACTTAATTTTTGTTTTGGACGAACGCCAAAAATAACTACTACTCCAACAATATTTCCAACACTTTTTTTTTCCTTCCCTTTTCGCCATTTTGTTTACTGCTTTTGCAGCATTAAGTTACTGAACTTTCGGCGAAAGAAGACAGAAAAAAAAACATATTTTCAACTGAGCAAGAACACTTTTGTTTACTCTCTATATTCAATGTAGAGAGAAACGGTGCTCGCGGCGAATAAATCATCTAATAAAACACCTGAACAAACAACTCACTCAATATTTTCTACGGCGAATGGAGCAAATGGTTTTGTGAAATTCCACGAAAAATTCTTCGCTCATCTGTGTCATAAACATAAATTGAAACTAAAACGACAATTGATTCTGACAGAAGAGATAGAGGAGACATTCTCCCGCAGAATGTTTCGTTTTATCTGATGAAAGTCGATCTTCTTCTTTCTCTGACTCACTCTTTCTTGCATTCTTTTCTTCTCAATGAAGATGTGTGTTCTTTCTCATCTCTCTCTCTCTTTTTCTCTCTGATCAGTTCGACTGAACTAGAAGAGTAAAGGGAAGATAGAGTGAAGAAGAACTTGCATTCAAAAAATGAATTACTCAAGGTTATTTAAATTGAAAAATCATTTGCAATCGTCATTTGGTACGAAAATCAAGCGTGGAGACATGGAAATGATATGAGAGAATTTCACTAGTAAACGAAACGTGAGATACGAGTCATAATGTCAATATTATTATTTGTCTATTTTAAATGTAGCCCGGGATTGATTGAATCACATCAAGAGAGTGTCGAAGAAACGCCTTAGTCACCGTACGAGTCAAGTTTTATTAAATAGTCAACACCACCAAAGTAATTATTAGTAATGTGAAAGATAAACGTTGTGCACGTATACGAAGCAGCGAAGCACAAGAGCACAACAAAGTAAAGTACGAGAGCACAGCAGCAACAAACACAGTGTAGTGAAACATCGGCGACAACGACGACGAAACACGGCAAAGCATGCAAATGTTTAAACAGAACACGCAATGACTAATAAATGACAAATATGAAAAAGGTTTATGCAAGAGACAAACAACTCGCATATAAATATTCTCATCATCACAAACGACCGCAATGAGCCAAACTGTATGTGAATGACGGCGATAAAATTGGAACAATTTTAGTACACGAAGAACAAATTCAATTAAACGTGCAATAAAACGACGGAGCTCAATTTAATTGGGTACAATTTATTATTATTAGGCAAAAACGAAGGAGAAAATAAAAATCAAAGAGAAATTGTAGCCTGTGTAGAGAGGAAGTAATTTGCAAGAGTCATAACCGTTTCTTTCCGTGCGCGCGGAGCGAGAGCGAAACTCTCAAACACACATTATCATGTCAACATTACAAACGGAACGGAAACCAAGTGTTTCCACGTGGTTTTCATCGTTACGACGACAACCCAAACCGAAAAAAGTCCTAGCATCAAAGAAACAGTTGCAAAAAAGTTGTGTCGATTTGTCATCGATACCAAACGATGTGAAATCGTTGCCAGCATCTGTAACGAATAGTCCAAAGTTGAAAAATGGTTTCTTTCGTGAGAATTATTTTTGTTTGTCACCATTGAAATCATTGGCAAATGGCACAAAATCGAATTCACTCGATTCGAGTGACACACCAAAATCGCCACCATCGAATAAATCGTCAAAAATGCGCACATACAGCACCACAAGCAGCCGAAGCAATGGCAGCTCGAGTAGCTCGGGTACGGATTCAAACAGAGGTCAAACTATAACCAAAATTACAAAAGTCACTAAAACGACTGTGATCACAACCACGGCTGCCTCCGCCATCACCCTATCGCACGCATCAAACAATCGTCTTAATCGCATTGGCACCATATTCGACGATGAAGGCCAATTAATCAGCAATTTAGATGTGTACAAAAATTATACGAACAGTTTTCGAAGTAATATCATCAAAAATGACAGCGCCAGTAGCTGTAGCAGTGGTAGTCAAAAGCATATAAATAATAACAGTGTATCACAATCGAATAATAACGGTGCACAAGTGAGATTTGTCGATGACAACGACGACAACGACAAATATGAGTTAACCAGCGATAACAATGACACAAAGACAAAAGGCAACACAGCGATTAGTTACATTAGCGTTAGTGGCGGCAGCGGCGGCGGTGGTGGTGATGACGATAGCGGTACATCGTGTAAAAAAAGTGCCAGTATCAATAGCATAACGAATCGTCCGTTCAAATCGAATAGTTTGAATTTAGACGATGACATTGAATTTATTGACACTTCATCTAGTCTGAGCGATATCGGCGGCAGTGGTGGTATTGAAAGTAATTTTGGCTCACTTGAAAATACGAGCATGTACTATAATACATTGCCCAAACTACCGAAATCCTGTGCCACATGCAAAACACAGCAACAACAACAAAAACAACAAGCCAAATCGAAATCCGACTGGAATATTAGCGTACATAAAAAGGTATTTAACACACAGAAAAAAAAACAGGTTGACGTATTTCATAGACACAAGCGAGAGACCAACCAGACAGCTCTTTATCTTTATCGTTTCATTGTCATTTTAATTTTTTTTCCCCATGCTCATTCTCAGTCTATTTGTTATCTTTATGAAATAACTCATGCGTTTTTTTTTCTCATTTCGTTCGAAATTCGCAGCAAATCAAGGATGAGTTATGTGAAGTGGTAGCTGAAATGGAAACGCTAGACCTACAAGAAGACTGCAAACATTCCAATAAAGATAAGCAAATGTCAATTGGTCGAAAGAAATTCAATATGGATCCCAAGAAAGGTAACAATTGCAATTCACAGTGTCAACCAATTTTCTTTTTTTTGTGCGCTGAAGAAGCCAAAAAACCAATTCCCACCGAAATGCGCAGACAAAATATCATTCAGAAAATAGAGCCGAATAAGATTGGTTCAAGTGAATTTCTCGTTGTTCTAATTAAATTTGATTCGAACGAAATGTGTTTTTTGGCTCACACAATTCCGTCGACTTGAATGCAAACAATGTTCGCGCGTGAGACAGACAAGTGGTGTATTTTGCACAATAAAAAATAAACCTCTTTTGAGAATGAAAGAAAAAAATATTCAATGTGAATTGAGTCTGGGGCGTATAGAATAAGTGCTTAAAAGATCACAAGACAATGGCACAACCAGCAGCGTCACAACAACATTATTTATGCATCCGAAAGAAAAAAAAAAAATTATTTTATCTGACGTGCATTTGGAATTTTATTTCAAATTTTCGGCTAATATAAAATGAATTTCATTGCTCTATCTTCACTGGCTCGCTCATTTGCGACGTTTGTTCTTCCCTTTTTCTTTCTTTCTCTCGCTCGTTTTGTGCGCACAACCAAGACAGCATCGCATTCTGTATGTTTGTTCAGTGAAAAAACGATATATTTAGCATCTTACGACCGAATCGCAGAATGCGCAAAAATATTTTAAATGATTTGTTCGTTCACCGTCGTTCGCATGCAAATGTATTGATAGCGTGCGAAAGAGAAGAGACGCTCATACATAGGATTTTGAATCTAACATCAAAAATAGATGTGAACGATTTTATAGAGTGTATGAAAACGTCATTTTACTGTAGCACACCATTCTCCTCAGCCCGTTTACGCTACAGCTCTCAGCTTGACTACGGCGAAAAACGTACCCGATTAAAAATAAGCCAGTGGTCGTACGGGTGTTTGGATTAAATGTGAAAAACGACGCAAAAACACGTTCACATTCTCAGCGACGACGTAGAAACAGCATCGGAACACACAGAGAGCAAGCGAGAGATCAAGATAGGGAGAAAGAGACCGAGTGAGAGAGAGAGGGAAAAAGTGAGGTAGAATAAACGAACAGAACGAAACACCGTGCACAGCTACTGCATACGATGTGCTCTCACCACAATTTTCTGGCATTCAAATTGTAGGGTACACACAGTCGATATTTAAAATTAATAATTCCTATTTATTGGTGCGGTCGGTGTGTAATGACAGCAAAAAGTATCGCTTCAATATGCGGAACAATCTAAAATTTCTTAGCCACTAAATTGATTCTATATTTCTTAATTCTAGAATTTTCTGCTCGTTTCAAACGAAAAAAAAAACGACGGTTCCTACTCATTTGAAAAACAACAAAGAGAAAACATTGGACGGATCATTTGAAATAAAAGGCTTCGTTTGACCATGAGCGTTTTATGAGTGTGACTGAATAGATGAGTGAGTGATGAGTAGATTGACAGCGTGAACTATGAGCAACACATAATAACAATAAAAAAAAAATACGCATAAAGGCACGAGATTGAGTCATGTTTTAATCTCTCACTCTCCCTGACTCTCGCGTCGCGTATTTTCTTTATTTACATTTCGAAACGTGTTAACTGACACAAATGCTCCGTTTCAATTTCGAGCATTCTTCGTCTAATCGGTTGTTACAATTTTCATTCACGCATCAATGTCTCAGCTTCTAATTTATGTCATCTTATATCAGTGTTTACGGTGTGTTATTAATCACATAAAAATGATGTCACAAGATCTATGGTGTGCATAGCGGCGACTCTCAATGGATTTCAGAATTTGAAAGTGACTACTATGTGAACCGTTGATAAATGTTCTGATGGGCGAGGGATTTAGCGATCAGAAAATGAAGCAACCTCGAGAATTATGGTTTATTTTGACTGAACGAAAGTAGTTATGGCAATGAGTTTATGGATGAATGTTGGAAATAAATGAATGTTCGAGGCGGTGTTTGGAAATCTGATAATAATGAAAAGTGTACGCTTGAATGGTCGTTCATTAGTTCTATGGTTTCATTCGAAAATTTCGATTTCAAGCCGATTGTTTCGCTGAACTGAAAATTCGAAAATTTGAGATTGAAATCAATCGCGAGCAGAGAGAGAGAGAGAGAGAGTTCATTCAACACAATGCAGTTCATTATTATGTGTCAATCATTATATAATGATGTCGAAACGCGATATATATCCCATTTTCCCGCTGACTGAACGCTTCACCACGCATTTCCATAATACTACTGTACCGTAGCAACAATTCCACTCGTCAAATCATCCGATTTCATATCGCATTCCCCAAACTCATTTGAATGTTAGACCTAGCATCGGTTTGCTGCACTCGGCCTACGATCAATATCCATCCGTTGGGTTGAGCCCATTATTGAGCTTGGGATTATTTATACCATTGTAACACATATCACTCGAACACTTGTTTCCATGTTGTAAACACTGAATTCGGTTTTTGCTCTACATTCGAATCGGTCATTTTTCAAAATTTATTCACTTCATTTCCGACATGTTTAATTTTCAACGAACGACCACGGCGCATTTTTTTTTCCTACCCATTATTGCATAATCCATGAACAAGTGATATGATTTAATGAAAAAATATGGTTGATTTTTATCTGCCTTTGTGTCGTTGCAGTGAGCCCAAGCTCCATCATATAATAGCTCTTTAAGTATTTTATGATAGAAAAACGTCAAGCAAACGACAAAAGCAGCCGCTTTGGTTTTTCTCAAGCGTAAATTATTTACTTCCTTCTTCATTATCGCACACTCTCTCTTGGATCGCTGTTCTACAAACGCAGAGATTTCTTTTCATGTGAAATTCTTGCCTCCATTCTTCTTGGTCTCCTTGACTTTTTCTCCATTCTTCTTCTTCTTCTTTTTTCGATAAATAAAAAGTTTCCTTGTTGTGACGATGAAGCTGTTAGTTATTTTAGTCGCTTTGTGTCATATAAATAGCTGCAAATAAAACTGCGCCGAAGACACACACACACACACTCACACGGAGAGAAAAACGTTTTCGGAAGTAATAAATTGTTATGATTTCATTAAAATTAATTGGAAATTAATTCGGATAATGTTGGCGATCTGTGTCAACGCGCACGCTGGCACATCTCATGTTTACGACTCAAGTATCACATCAAGTTCAATTACACGGGCATTCAAGTTGACAGAGAGACTTGTGTTGTGACAGCAAATGTGTACAGTTTGTTGCTGTTTGCTGTTCGGGTGAATGTATTTCGAGGTTTTTTTTTTCGTTCAGTCTTTTAATGGATCTTATTCAATTCACAGGAATCGAGTACTTGTGCGAAAACAATTTGCTACAAATGGATGCACAAGATGTTGCCCATTTCTTGTACAAAGGCGAAGGTCTGAATAAAACTGCCATTGGTAAGTTCATTCAAACTGGTGAATTGTATTCACATAATAAGTCATGCAAAATTCCAAGTCGCAATCATTTTGCGAGATTTCTTTATATAGTATATGCAAAGAAAGATTTATTTTTCTCCGCTTCGTCTTTTTTTCTCTCTCGGCACTATCAATATTAACATAATCTTTTTTTTTCTTCGAATCATTACAGGCGATTATCTTGGCGAAAAAAATGACTTCAACGAACAGGTTTTGAAGGCATTTGTGGAATTGCATGATTTCACCAATCTCATTTTAGTGCAGGCTTTAAGGTAAACATATCTTTGTCTTCTGATATAAGCAATCACATCATTTGAATATGAAAAAAGATTTTTTTTTAATGAATGCTTTCTTGAAATCACAGTTTTTTTTTGCTCCGTAGAACGTTTTTTCTTCTTTCGATACATAATTTTTTCTTTTAATTTCGAATAATTATTCCTCCGACGAATGATTTCTTTTTAATGCCATGATTCTGGTTTTCGTTTTTCTTAGACAATTTTTATGGTCATTTCGATTGCCGGGCGAGGCACAGAAGATCGATCGCATGATGGAGTGTTTTGCGCAACGCTATTGTCAATTAAATCCGGATATATTCACAAATACGGATACGTGTTATGTACTTAGTTTTGCCATAATCATGTTGAATACGTCATTGCACAATCCATCGGTGAAGGATAAACCGAGTGTGGAGCAGTTTATCTCAATGAATCGTGGCATAAACAATGGCGGCGATTTACCACGTGAATTATTGGTATCACTGTACGAGTCAATACGAACGGAACCATTTAAAATACCACAAGACGATGGTAACGATTTAATGCATACATTCTTCAATCCCGACAAAGAAGGTTGGCTGTGGAAACAAGGCGGCAGGTAACTAAACATTAATGCTACTACTCAATTTGATTTCATCGGATTAAGTTGGAAAATGTGGAAATTGCTTAAATGTAAATTGAATTACAAATGCCATAATTGAATTTCTCCTTCTCTTCTCTCTCTCTCTCCCTTTCCCCGCTTCTTGCTTGGTTAACAGATACAAATCATGGAAACGACGATGGTTCATTCTCAATGATAACTGTTTGTACTATTTTGAGTACACGACAGATAAGGAGCCGAGAGGCATTATTCCATTAGAAAATATTTTGGTAAATATTTCTGGTTGTGAACTTTAAATTTGATTGCAATTTGAACGGTTCTGGTTCTGGCGTTGTCTGTAATTCGATTAAATGTGTGTGTTTTATTTATTAGGTGCGAGAAATTCATGATCGAAGTAAGCCACACTGTTTCGAGTTATACGCTTGCGGTGGTGCGGATATCATAAAAGCATGCAAAACCGATTCCGAAGGAAAGGTACGAAAGATGAACACAAACATTGAACATTTTCATAGTACATAAAGAGAGACAGTTTTTTACTGATATCCATTCGCTTTTATTTTTATCCAAACCAGGTTGTCGAAGGCAAACATTCCGTCTACCGAATGTCAGCAGCAACGGAAGAGGACAAACAAGAATGGATAAAATGCTTAACATCGTCCATTTCACATAATCCATTTTACGATATTTTGGTACAGCGAAAGAAGAAAGCGCTCACCGTTAGCTAATGCCCAGGGCGATGTAACATGACAACAAACTACGTGCAAAATGAACATATCGATTGGATTTGCAGCAACGATGAAATGCTAAATCCAAAATGAAACCAAAACAAACGACAACTTCTCATATCAAAACCAGATTTTAAGAAAATGCAACCGAGATTTTGTACGATTTGCACACAAAGTGCGACAACACAACAATGCTCGAAAAAAAAACATCATCAACGCAAAATCCGTTCGAAATACACACATCATATTCATTTTTAATCGTTTTTAACATGAAAACAAGCAACAAAAACACAATGGAAAAACTTTTTAATCTACACAGAGAGCGAAAGAGAAAATATCATCATCAGAACATCATCCAAAGTTGAACAAAACAATTTGCAAACATTTTAAAAAGTATATAGATGTATCGAAAGCGAGACAAGAGTTTTTAATCAAAGTTTTTAAATCACAAGCATGTAAATAATTGATTTTAGAGCATACGTTAAATTTAGAATGTATATATACGCATACAGCAAGAACAATTTTTTTTATATATAATCGATTCGAGCAACAGAGAAGAAACAAAGTTTGGAATAAAATATTACTATGTATAAGAAAGTCGATAGTTGCATTTTTATCGCGCGATTTATTAAACCATGTCATACAACTTTTTTTTCTTCGTTTGTAAATATCGCCATTTATGAATGAACAATATACAACTGTTGAGTTTAGCGATTGAAATGAAAGGAAAAATTGAGAATGAGTTTATCTTCTTTTGAAGCGGAAAAACAGATCAAAGAAGAAAAAGAAAGTGAATGAGAAAAAAAAAAACCATAGACAAATATGTTAACTTCCTTTTTTCATGTGATACACAACAATTTCGAAATATCTAGGAGTTTTAGTTAGTTCGTTTTTTGCCACCCCATTTTAAAACAAATCACTTCCAATAATAAGAAGAAAAGAGCCAATTCGAATAATGGAGAATTTTTTTATGAAAAAAAAAATGATGAACAAACAAAACTAATTTATTGAAATCATCCATTTGATTGACTGTTGAATACATGTATTGTGCATTTTTAAATGCATAGCTATTAAGCGCTAAAACATTTATCCTGATTTGCTAATAAATTTTAGTACGTATTATGTTTAAGTCAAAAATAATCGCTTCGTAAGGAATTGAATTTTGCGAACAATGACATGAGTTGATTTTTATGCTTGATTCATACGGCTTCGACATGCAACAAAAAACGTACATTTCAGTTGCTATAAGCTACATATATGCAAAACCACCAGAAAAAAATGAGTAGCTCTACATTTCATGCGGGACTGAACACGAATCAATAATGCTGAGCTTATGAAATGAGGATTAAGGAGCTGTTGTGGATGTTCCACCCACTTTTTTCCTTCCGTGCAATCAAAACCGTTTCAACAAAATCAGTTTCGCGCTTTTATTTCGTAAACAGGTATACACGAAATGAATGGAATCTTTTAAAATTGCGGCATTGGCAAGCAGAATAAACAATAGAAATCATTTATTATAATAGAATTATATAATGGAAAAACAAAGTGACATATAATTACTGATTTTAAGAACGAAAAATGGAATGTTTTCACAGAGATATCTTAAGAAAATGCACAATAAAAGGTCTCTGTTAAGTTTTGTTCTGGTTCTTTTTCAGCTCAATGAAAAAATAAAGAAAAAAAACTTTTGAAAATGATTCAGTTTTGGTATTATTTCATCACGCAGCAATAAAAATGGATCGATGTTTGTTTGAAAAATTGGTTAATTACACTGTTCGATCCTCCTTAGATAATAACTAAATTTCAGATTTACATCTATTTGGCCAATGAATATGTTTGCGCTTTTTCCAAATCACTATGTGGTATTTTGTCGACGTCTTTCTTCAATAGTGCAATGAATTCTTCCAATTCGGTGTGTTGCGTTTCGATAAATTTCAACTCATTCTCTAGGCATTTATGTTCACTTTTAACCTTTTCAATAGCATTGCTCAGTTCGACCTCAGTTCGACATTCTTTTAGCTATTCTTGTTGAGCAGATCATTACATGGATTCACTTGTGTCGCCTGATTGATGAATACTTTTTCTTGTTCCTGCAATTCCGATGTGTATTTGTTGATCATTTCTTCAATTTGAGAGAATGTCACTTGATTTCCAGCAACCGCTGTTGACTGTGTTGTTATGAAATTGACAATTCAAACACTTGTATTAGACGCGCCATTTAATAAGCGTAAACTTCATCGTCAACTTACGTTGTACTTGAACTGAAAGCAATGGCTGGACCGTCAAGATTTGTGGTTGCTGTATTGGCCACTATTGGGTGCAAATCCAAACCAATGCTAGAAAATGAAAGAAGAAAAAAGCGAATGGTGTTAAGAATTTTCGATGCAATTTCGTTTGATAAAACTATGCGAATGAGTCATTTGAGTTATACACTGATTATCGCCACAACATAGCACTGGTTGATCGACTATTTCATTTCCACATAATGTGGTGGTGCTCACAAAAATTACTTTTTACAATAGAACAATTTGGAAACTGCCCAGCCATTCGATTTCACCAAAGTCGCCCAGCAAATCAAATTTTGTGATTCGTATAAATACAATTGACAATTGACAACGGAAGAGACAACGAAACGAAAGATTAGACGAATGTAATTGAGCCTAATTGATGAATGTGATATGTGTTGGTGTGTTACGTACCCAAAATTCTTGATAAAAGCGGTAATGCCGAGCTAAGTATCAAAACCAGTGGTCCGTTGACGATGAGTTGGGCGAGTAAGGTTTTGTATCGTTGTGGCCGAATGCTCTGCATGAATGGCATTGTGTACAGGCCAACGGTTGATGTGGCACACAAATAAAAGATGATTAACACTTCGATTGCGACTCCAATCGGTCCCACTTTTGATAATGAAGTGATGCCCAATGTAAATTTCTGCAATAAAATTCAACGATTGCATTGTTAGAAATACGTTGCCGTTTTTGGATTCAACGAAATTTAGTTTTTACGAAGCAAATCAATTTACCTTTGTGCTGAGCCGTTGTGACACCGGTTAGAAATAGCAACATTAGCCAATGGATAAATCAAATTGCGCTGTATTGCCGTTGAACTACGTAGTTTATCCAATTCTTTGCGTTTGGTTCACAGCTCGTGCAGTCTTTCATGTAGCTCATCATATTCCCAATTATTTGTCGAATATTCGACGGTGTCACTGGGCATGTCGCCGTCAATAATTGCCTTGCTCGGATAATTCTTATGATTGAAACTAATTGTGTTTGATGGTTTACGATTGAGATGACGCAGCAATGATATTGTTAGCGAACCAAATGCTTTTGGAATGGAATTTATATCACAATATTTGGGTGGTTGTGTTGATGCAATGGTATTATTGGTGGATAATTTGGTGGATGTGATTGTCTGATTCAATTTTTCGTAAAACACTCGCCTCCTCCAAGTGCGATGTATGATATTCTTCATTGACGTCACGCATGAAGTGTGGCTTCACTAACACCTAGCCAACGACCCCGAATAATCGGAAAAAACCCAACGGGGTGCATACAAGCCAAGCCAACTAAGAAATGGACAAAAAATGAAACGAATTAGTTTATACTTTTTATGAATGTTCAAAGGAGAAGCGTGAAAAATACATACTCAATACAAAACAAGAGCACTCCAATAAATGAAACATATGAATATAAAAATGGTAGGTGATACGATCCCAAATCTGGAAAATACACAAAAATTAATTGGATAAAAAAACGGTACTTATTCACTATATTTGGATACTTTTGACGATACCATCGACATATCTATATAGAGGTGTTTTGGATGAGTAAACGAAAACTTGGTATTCATAAACACTTACCTAACAGCGTATCCCTCTTTTCTCTGGATAAATAACGGCTGATACAACATAAGTGATGCTTAAAACGACAACAGCTATTAGTGAGAACACGGTAGATGTTTCATTTGCTCGCGATATGATCCCATTTTTATGGCCGAAAAATCCCGACGACTCGGCAAATAGATATGAGAATGGAAGCAGCACGAACAATGACAAATTTGAGAATAGAAACACATGATTCCACAGTCCTATAAATATAAAAAAATAATGGGTGAGAGAGTGTTGGCAAGGTTGCAAATCAAATGTGATTTATGAGTATTGCGTTTGTTTATTTAAGAAGATAAGGTAGAGGTATGCACATTGAAACAACAACAATAAAATTACCGTGAACCAGCGAACTATTCAACCACTCAACATAATAACTGAGTGGGTATAGGAGCAACACTTCATTACTAGCCATCGATATGGGTAAAAGCAACACCGCACATATGGCAATGGCTAACGAAAATGTGCACAACCACAGGCTGAAAATGGAAAAAATGAATCGAAATTGAGCTTTGTGTGAGAGAATTTGATGTCATTTAAAATTGAATGGATGCTGCGCTAGGGAGATCTAGCTACTATAAAAGAATAAGCGGCAGCTTTCAACTATTCTCCACTTCCATTGGATTTCAACGGCCAAAGTGTATCTACTGTAATGGAAACTAAATGCAAGTGGAGACGGTGTGTGGAAAATAGTGTAGAAAAACTTTTAAAATGGGGAAGGTTCTTTATGGCGATTGATAGATAAATCGTTAGAGTCAATCACATACCTTATTTTATATACTAAAACTTCATCGTTGTCGGTGGAGTACAGATCTTTCTTATCACGACGACGAAATCGACCGATCAATGCAAACGACCCAACGTACAACAATATGAACAGCAACAAAAAAATCTGTAAACAAAGCAGACAAAAGAAATCATATTAAACGAATCAAACAAGAAAAATATCGAGCGCTAAAAATTATGCACAATGTCAGCGAAAAATTGGCCAGCGAGTTGAGTCAATCCCAAGAGAAACCAATCAATTTACTCTACGCTAA